CAGGTTTAAAATTAAGCATGACTCCAGCCATTTTTTCTTTTATCAACAATAGATAATTGCATTAATATAAAGAGTCATTAAAGGGGATTCAATCTTTACAATAAAAAATGATTATAAAGAGATTAAAGTTCCTATTCAATGATGAACAAAAACTGAAAACAATGATAGGGTTATAACCAACTACGTAATACAATGCAAACACCAAAATCAATTCTAACAATAGAAAAACACATAACAACTAAGTTAGTAAACCAAAGGAGCCATAACCCCAAGCATCACCATATAAGGAAAAGCCTTTGAAGTCTTAAACAACACAAGCTAATTAGGCTAACAAATCACATTTAGAGCATCAACCAAGCAATAAATCATAGCCCACTTGCAAACATTATAATGGATATTCTCTAGGACTGGGAGCAGTGTTTCAAGTTAAGAATATGCAATGACAGTGTTGCATATGTTTAGATGTTTGACAATCCTAAAAAACTATTCTTTAGGATTGAGACTCCAATCATTGAATGAATACACCAGCTATCCAACATTCCTTTTTTACTTGTCAAAAAGGAAAAAAAATGAAGTAATAGGACTTAATCAAAATATCAGTATAATATCATCAAGACAAGAATTAGCGTTCTCCAAATAGTTCCTCCATTCCTTGTCACAAAATTTTTGTTGCACATAATACTAGCTAACATATTTAAAATAAATGAAAAAAACATTTTGAAAGGATAAAATTATATTTTATTATATAATTTATTATTTGATGTACAAGAAAAATTATAAGCATATCAAGAGAATCAAGTATGGAAATGTCAATTTCGTCCTCCTTTTGTTGTAATGTTAACATATGAAATTACCAAAATAACTATAAAAAATTCAAAATAACTCTAAAAAATTCAAATAAAAGAGGTAAAAGCCAAATTTATCTTTAAAAAATAGAACAGCTAGGATAGTTGAATCCTCAAAACAATATATAGTAACAAAAAAAGTGAAATGTAATTCACCATATACACATTGATTGCACTTTTTATAACAGTTAATGAAGGAGCGAGCCTCTTAATGGTAGGGGTTCACTTCTTTATTAATGATTAAAAGAAATGCAATTCATGTAGAGCAAACTATAAAACAACATTTCTCATATGGTAACAATTAATTTTTTTAATGAAACTCCCCAACAACAACTATGTAAAAAAAAAAAAAAATTACAATTGTCTCTCCTAAAATTACTGTGTTCTGTGACAAACAAAAATGAATAAGGAATAGTATCTAATAGCATGAATGTCCACTTTACCAGACAAATTCTGGATTGATGGTTACAACCAGTACTACCATTTTTCAGTCCCAATACCACAACAATGGCAACACTGTGCTGCAAAACCAAAATCCAAATACAAGGAAAATAAATGAGGACCGCTCACAAAAAGTTACAGTCTGCCAATCGGATTATGGTCCTGAGCAATGACTGAGTATATAAGATGTTATAATGTAAACCTTTATTAGGGGAATGCTACAGTACAAAGTTGTCATGTAATTTTTTCTTTTTTGAACATTGGGGTTGAAATTTAAACTCATACCTCACATCTTCAAATTTCGTATGAGAAGCCTTTTATAAGAATGAAGTACCTACTAAATTATAAATTATAAGGACATTCTCATGCTGTCATGTCATTTTAAACCACACAACAAGAAATATTTTATTTACACAATTTAGGGATTCTTCACCTCTTCTTTCATGTTTACTTCGAACTTATCCCTACGGTAAAAAATGGCACATCCTTCATATATATATCCTTCGGCTGAATATAACTGCAACACATTACAAAATAGCATTTTATTGATTTTAAGCACACATTACCATATGAATGGAATGCAATAACAAAATAAACACAAAACAGTATCTAACTTGGGTTATATTTATTCTTGAAACAAATCATATTGAAACTTGTCATCGGTTTAATAACTTTTTTAACCAAGATCTACATATATAGATATTAAAAACTTAAGTTATTAACAATAATTGTTTTTCATAATTATATACTACTTACAATTATTTATATATTTTTAATGTGGATTTGAAGTGTAACAAAACAAGTCGGCATTCACATACACATTAAGAAATGAAATGGTACAAGATGAAAGCAATTTCTTGGTAGGAATTCCAAAAAATTTCGAAGTAAAATTCTAATAGTTTAAGAAATGAAGCAATTTTTAATAAGGAACTGGACTGCTCTTGTGTGCATCACAATTAACAGCTAATGAGATTTGAACATAACATACCTCATTGATATTTGTTTTTTTCTTGTACAAAGCTGAATACCCGCGGCTTCTCAACTCAGGTTCAAAGAAATCTTTATAATGGTTCTCTTGAACCTGCATGCCCCAACCATGAATTTAAGAAAACTGCATAAGCTAAATAGGGTAAATCAGGCCCCATGACTATATTCAATTAGCGGAGAAGAAATTCATCACCTCCTGTAAACATATAATATCTGCATCATATTCATTGATCTCTTTCAACAATTTTTGCTTACGGTATTCCCACTCAAGAGCCCATGTTGGACAGCAAAGATGGTTCTTGGCAAGTATATCAGCCAGTATATTGTAGGATAACACACTAAATGATGAACCATCATCATTACATTCAATATCAATCATCCTACGTGGGGAACAAACAGGGAAAGGAATCACAGGATTAGTGATCACTCTTCTTTGAACCAGAGACAGACGATTGCGGTTTTCAGGATCAATAGCTACACACTCCAGCATCAGCAAGGAGTTGATATCATCATATGAAGGCTCATATGTTCCTGAAGAGGCCACTTGAATCCATTCGTCTCCTTCTAGTTCTGGAATCTCATCAAGTGATTGTGGCCATGAGCCAGATCTCCTTAAAAATTCTTGTTGATTTCTCAAGTGGCGATGACAAATCTTATGCCTTTCCCAATCACTTGAGAAGCACTGTGCAGAACAATGATAGCTCTTCACTTTCGTGTTCAATTCAACACAAGAGATGCATTGAACTGTAGCCATGATCGAAGGATGAACAGAACAAGTTGGAAGCTTTCTCCGGAACCTACACAAGTAATAATTAAGCTTCTCACTTTACAATTAATCATCACTTCAAAGAAAAACGGATTAAAATCAAGAACAACAAACAGAGACAGCTAGGGAAAGATAGAAAAAATAAAAAATAAAAGATCGAAAAGAAAAGGTTTCGGCAAAAACCAGGAGAAAATGATGGGTGGCTGGGGATTCGCCTTGAAGACGAACTGGTCTCCGATTTTCGCAACAGTGAGAGGAGGGATTTTGAACTGGGGGTTGGCTTCAAGGAAGTTTCGGGCTTTCACCATCGCAACAACATAAGGTTTGATTTTTACACCTCTTACTGGTGTATCAGAAGCCATACGGAGATCGAGCTCATATGGTAGTTGTTGGGGTACGTTTTCTTCATCCATTTCAGTTAGGAGATTGAGTTCAGAGTAGCTTAACGAAACCGGGAAGAAGCAGAGGTAAATAGAGAAACAGAATCGGATTTGTGGCAATGTGGTCCGAGAAGTAGCTAAAACAGTTTTCGTTTAGGCTTTGAGACTGGCATCTTTTTTGAGTGCATGGGAAGTCAGACCGCATGGTATACCATTTCCTTCTAAATTTAAAAAAATTTCCTTCCAATTTTAATAAGGGTTTTTTTCATCGTAAATTTTATTATACCTTTTTACATTAATTAATGTTAAAAAATATAAAAACTATCATTAATTTTATTATTAGTACCATATGAATTATTTTAATTAAATAATTACTTAATTAAATAAATGTTAATTTTTAATTTTTTTATATTAATCAATATAAAAAACACAAGAATTACACTTAGGTAGAAAAATCCTTTTTATAATTATCCACACTAATCATTTTTGTAAAGTCTTCCAAGATATTATTTCAATTTTACTTCTATCAATTGCTTTAAATAAATTTTTTATTCCATTTCAACTTTACTATTTAAATTATAATAGCTGGACATTAAAAATGCCAAAATATTTAATT